GTCGGGACCGGTGGTCCAATGCAAGGCTACCGCAAAGCAACTGAGGCTACTTGGCGTGAACATCGTCGGCGTTGACCCTTGGGGTATAGACGTGGGTCGGGGCGACCCGGATCACGACGATGGTGTTCTCCGCCGGAAAAAAAAAAAGAATTCGTCGGAGAAGAAGGAAGAAATGTGAAATGACTAAAATACCCTTATTATTTTAACTATTAAAATTTTTTGGCGAAATTTGGCCGGTAATTTGATCGGAGTGACCAAAATTGATGAAAATTGCATAGTCAGGGTACTAAATTGACACTTTTGAAAGTCGGGTGCTAACATTAACAAAATCTATATAGTCATATAACCAAAATTAAAATTTTCTCTTTTTAATTTTAAAAACTAAACTTTTAATTTTAAAAAATTAACATATATATATATATATATATATATATATATATTATTTTTAATTATAATAATTAATCGGAGACGGGGACGGGAGTGGGGAATTTCAAAAACTCCCTGTCCCCGAAATTTTTTCTCGTCCCCATCCCCGTTCCCGATGGGGACGGGGATCCCCAACGGGGACGGTGCACATTGCCATCCCTAGTTGCGGGTATCGTTTGAGTTACAAGAGTTCGATCTCGATCTTGCCATATCTAATAGAATCTGGAGCACGCTCGAGCTTGTACGTCAACTCTCAACAAGAGCACCATTGATGGAAAAAATTGATCTAGAGTATGACCCAAGCCAATTTGATTGCGGTAATTTGGGGCAAACAAATAAATCCCGGAGTATTCGGGTTGTCGAACCACAGAGAGATGGAGTACTAATCACTAGCTACTAGGTTACTCATATGAAACTAGTCCGAACAAAACTTGAAGGTTGGGTAATTGCAGAAAATAACGAACAGAATAAAATAAAGAACAAGGTTTTGTAAACAATAGAGTGAAACAGGATTCTTGGGATCACAATGTTTAATCACCTAGTGCCAATTAACGTTAGTAATATTTAGTTTGGGATTAAGATTTGTATGGGAATGCAAAGTGGAATCGAATTACTCCCGTAATCTCTATTCCTAGTGAATTTCCACTCCCGTGGCTTAAACACCCAATAAGATCGAAGATCAGCATTCAATTATTCCCAATTACTACCATCTCCTGATTGGCAACAATCTAGAATAAGATTCCCCCAATAAGTTCCCCTTTTCCAAGGTCCAACCATTAGGTGCAATCGTGTGTGCCCTAATTTATGCATCAATTCCCATTTGTGACACAAACATGACTATGAATCTAGTAATTTAGGCCTTTAATTACCAACATCAACAGATTAAAACAAGATTGCAACACAAATCATAAAACCAAACATAAATATATTAAGAAATTAACGAACTAGGCACATAGGTTCATAAACAAATTCACCCAAAAATCCCTAAGGAATTTAGCCAAGCATGGCTAAATTATACATAGCAAATATAAATAAAGAATTACAAATCATCAAAAGAGTACAAGAATTAACCAGACGATTTTTCCAAATCTCTCTAGTCTTCTTCTTGCTTCCCAAGACAACACGTGGCTCTTGATTTCGCTCTTTCTTGTCTCCAAAGAACTCTAAAAATCTCTCTATGCTTAGGTATATTCCTCCCAATTCCTGGGGTCAAAGCTCAATACTCTTGTGCCACAACAACCATCTCTCGTTCCCCATATTTCTTTTTCTTAGATAGAATCTCTCTCAAAAATTTTCCATAAGAGGGAACTTGTGAAAGCAAATCAAGTAAGGGAACTGAAACTTTCAAACCCTCAACAACCTCCAAAAACTTTTTCCATCTACTTTCTTTTGTTGTTTCAAATTTTTGAGGAAAAGGCAATGGGGGTACATACCTTCTCACGGGCTTCTCTACTTCCTTTTGAACTTGTGGATTATTTTGCACAACAATTGGCTCATCTTCTATACCATCAAGTATCTCTTCAATCTTCTCCTCAACTGTATTTTTAGGAATTGATGCTTTGATTGGAAGAGGTGGCTCTTCAAGTACTTTGCCACTCCTTGTAACAATTGCATTTACATGCTCCATTGGATTTTCAGTACTGGCTGGCAACTTCCCTGTGACTTTAGTACTTGATGTAGAAGGTTGATTTGCTAACTGCTTTCAAACATATTTTGGCGAGCATTCATCTGATCCATCCTCTCTGTAAGCTCTAGCTGACCTTTAACCAATTTTCCAACAATACTTCCATATTCGATTGAGGTGGGGCCTCCGAAACGGAAAATTGAGATTGAATTTGAGTACCTTGAAAACCTGGAGGACCTCTATTAACAAAGTGTTGAGGGTTGGCAGCCCCCATTAGGTTGCTCCATGAAAAACCGGGATGGTTCCTTGAATTATTAGGATGGTAGGTCCCTTGAGGTTGGAAAGACTGTTGATGAGGCCTATTATATTGCACCATATTAACTTGCTCCATAGAGGTTTGGGAATTTAACTCGTCGAGACAATCCCCTGACTTATGTCCACCACCACCAAGTTCCTAAGACTTTGTGGCACTTTCAAGATGAATGGAGTCACTCAAGATGCTGTCAGACTTAGGCTTTTCCCCTTCACACTGAAGGACAGGGCTGAAGATTGGTTATCCTCACATCCAGATAACCATTTTGACACTTGGGAAAAATTACATGGAGAATTTTTGGAGAAGTTCTATCCTATCTCCAAGAGTAAAAGGATGAGAAGGGCAATTCAAAACTTTAAGCAACTGGCAACTGAGTCCCTCACTGAGTCTTGGGAGAGATTTAAGGAATTGAAAAGGCAATGTCCACACCATGGGTTTCAAAGTTGGGATTTGATGATGTCTTTCTATGAAGGATTGCTTGATAATTCTAGGATTTTGGTGGATGCTTCTTCGGGTGGTTCGTTCACGATTCTAGAGCCAACACAAGCCGAGGAACTATTGGAGAAAAAGGGTATATATTTATACGGATCAATAAACTCGCACCTAATAGAATGAGTAAAAAGCAAACAATTGAGTGGAATTGTTTTGATATTAGATAGATAGAATAAAGCCAAAATATTACAAGTAGATTGCAAGAATGGGGTCATTTAAGACCGAATGGGCTTGCCACATTGTCTGATCCCAGAGCCTTTATATAAGGTCCTTCCTGTAGTTGTAACCTCTCATAATATTAAGGCCACGTAGCGTTCCTATTTTCTTGGCCTGACTCTTTCTTCTCTGACTGTACTGCATCTTTCTTCTTAAATAATAATAATATGAAATATATTATTCCATCATGAGTCCCCCACTTTCTTAGCCGCAAGTATTTGTCGACATAAGAAAGTGAAAAACTGATACACGTAAAATTAAACCACATATAACAACACTCAGAGAGTGACGGGTGTAGTCTGCACTACATGTTTGTGCACAAGGCATCAAAATTCTAACCTTCCTCGCTCGGAGCATTGAAGATCATATGAAAGTTACAGTTAAGTGTACAGAGCACCCAAGAGTCATGGTTAGGTGCACGGAGCACCTAGGAGCTACGGTTAGGTGCACGGAGCACCCAGGAGCTCACGAAAGTTGTTCCCTGCATGCTAAATAACACATGATTAGTGGGTCATGCCACTAGTATTGATTTAAATATAAAATTAAAATAGAAGATAGGTTTGAAAATCCCTATCTTCCTTTATTGTGACCAACCGTAAACTTATTCATTGTAACTGTTGTTGTAGGAGGTAGCACGGAGCTTTACCGTGCCTTTAAGAGGTAGCGCGGAGCTTACCATAAATTTAGGTGGCAGCGCTGGGCTTGCCTTGCAATATAGTTGGTAGCACAGAGCTTACCGCACTATATTATGTAAGTGGCAGCACGAAGCTTGCCAAAATATGCGGTTGTTCAAATAAATAAATGCGTGGTTGGACACATTAACTAGTTAAATAATATTAAATAATAATAATAATAATAATAATAATATAAATATTGGAAATAATAAAAGACACTTATCTTTTAAATTTTAATGTCCAGTTGTGATTCATTCAGCAGGAGGAGGTCGAGGTGGTCTCAGCTAGGGTCCGAGGCAGCCTCGGCCCAGGTCGACCTTGAGGTCGAGGTGGTCTCGGCTAGGCGTAGCCCGGTCGACCTCAGCGTGGGGTACCCCCGACTGAGATGCCTCCGACCGGGGTGTGCGCTACGCGTAAAGACTCGGTCAAAGGAGATCCAACCGCCACCCTATTCTCATGGGGGCTGTTAGGAGGAAGCATAATATAAAATCTTTCATTATTGTCTTGATTAGACATCTAATTCATATGTCATTTCATTACATTTACTTGTAATCTTCCTACAAACACGATATTAATACAAGGTTAATTAAATTCATCATATTTTCATCATATTTTTACTTTAATTTTAATTTTTTTTTGAATGCTACTGACTCTATTACAATGTAGTATCTGTAAGCACAAAGAGCCAATAACGCCTCCAACCTCCCATATGGGAGTCCAATCCGGGTGTCATTTAAGCACAAGATGCTTGGCTACTTTAATTTTAATTAGAGAAAATTTCAATTTTGGTCACATGACTATATGTGCATTGTTAATTTCAACACCTGATTTTTAAAAATGTCAATTTGGTACCTTGACTATGTAAATTTTGTGAATTTTGGTCACTCCGGTCAAATTGACGGTCAAATTTGACCCGAAAAATTTAATCCAACATTTAATCTTGAAAGGATCAAAAGACGATTTTGCCCCTCAGAATATAGACTAAATGTTTGATTAAATTTTTTCGACCAAATTTGACCGTTAATTCGACCGGAGTGACTAAAATTGACAAAAATTACATAGTCAAGGTACTAAATTGATATTTTAAAAAATCAGATGCTGAAATTAACAATGCCCCAATAATGACCAAAATTGAAATTTTATATAAATTATAAACATTTGAACATAAGTCGTCCTTGCAAAGTGAATCTAGGTTAGAGAATAATTTGCGGCGATCACGGGTTACATACTACTATACAAAAACAATTGAAGCAGTCCAAATTCCAAACTCCACCCGCGTTATTCCTTATCACACCTCAATTAACATAATTCCTTCCTTTCCTTTCAAGTTTCAACTCCAGCAACCCCTTCTTCAATCCATCATACCACTCTCTACTTTTTCCCCAATCCTTACAATTTCTCTACTTCATGTTAATTCTCAGCTATGGATGCACTTTCTTCTGCTAATCGACACGCAAAAGCTCAGGCGCAGTTGAGGATGCACTCCCACCAAGAAACCCAAAACGACGCTCACATTCCTAGCCCCTTTGGCCAATTGGCTGTTGAATTCACGGATTCCGAGCTCCGGGAAACCGCCTACGAGATCGTTGTCGGGGCTTGCCGGAGCTCCGCCTCGGGTCGCCCGTTGAAATTCGTGTCCAATTCCGAGAGGTCGGACTCCACGTCCTCGTCTTCTTCGCAGTCGTTGCAGAAGTCGTCGTCGGCGAGCAAGGTGAAGAAGGCGCTTGGGTTTAAGTCGAAGAAGAAGAACCGTTCCGATTCGGCGGTGGCGGCGGATCAGACTCAGAACTCAGCAAGTCGAAAACGAGCCTCTACCGTTGGGGAGCTGATGAGGGTTCAGATGAATGTTTCGGAGCAAACCGATTCCAGGGTCCGACGAGGGTTGTTGAGAGTAGCTGCCGGACAGGTCAGTGAAGACTGTGTTTGCGATTAATTTCCTCATAGTTTTTCTTCTGAAAATCTTAAGCTCAAATTTTGTAACTAATAATTGAATTCTGATTTTTAATTTTAAGGTCAAATTGGAGTAAGATATTTATATATTTGAGTAAACCATTTTGTTTTTTTCTGGCAATATGAGTTAACCAGATGAGCCAAAGTTAAATTTTGTTGGTTACTCCAATATTTTATGGCAAAAACTTGTCTGAAAAATATAATATTAATAATAAATAAAATGTTTCTTACATGTCTTTCAAGTGACCATGACTCATGTTAATGTTTTAATAAATAATTTCGCACCAAATCTTTTACCATGTTTTCATATTAGCCGACCAGTCAATCAGTTGAAGCTAGATAGTACAAGATTTGGTGTAAAAAATTTGGTACAAGTAGCATTACCTTTTAGTTACTTTGCCAATTATGCATTGGGAGTTATGATTTGCAGTGCTTAAATGAAAACAGATTGAGAGGCCAAAATTGGAATGCTTCTTTAGTGCATATAACTAATTTATGTCTTAAAGACTCAGCTTTATATTCTCTACTTAGTCATTCAATAATTGGTGTTTTCTTCTTTGGGTTGATTTTAGCTTGGAAGGCGTATTGAGTCGTACATTCTGCCCTTGGAGCTATTACAACAGCTCAAGCTTTCTGATTTTTCAAGTCAGCAAGATTATGAAGCATGGCAGAGAAGGAACTTAAAGGTACTTGAAGCGGGATTACTCTTTCATCCATCATTGCCACTACATGAGACAGACACACAGTTTCAACAGCTTAGGGGAATTATACGTGGGGCTTTGGTGAAACCCATAGATACTGGGAAATACAGTGATTCAATGCAAGCACTCCGGAATGTTGCATCATCGCTTGCCTGCAGGTCTTTTGATGGGTCTGTTTCTCAGGTATACCATTGGGCAGATGGAATCCCATTTAATCTCCGACTCTATGAAATACTTCTCAAAGCTTGCTTTGATGTTGATGATGCAACATCCATGATTGAAGAAGTTGATGAGGTCTTAGAAATCATTAAGAAGACCTGGGGAGTTCTTGGAATAAATCAAATGTTGCATAACATTTGTTTTTTATGGGTCCTGTTCCATCATTATGTTTTTATTGGCCAAGATGAAAATGACCTGCTCTTTGCTGCTGAGAATCTCTTGTTAGAAGTACAAAAGGATGGAAAGACAACAAAGGATCCAACTTACTCCAAGATTTTGAGTTCTATACTCGGTTTGATCTTAGGTTGGGCTGAAAAAAGGCTTCTAGCTTATCACAATAGCTATTACAGGAGCAATATTGACATCATGCAAAGTGTGTTGTCTATTGCAATATCAGCAGCCAAAATATTAGCGGAAGACATGTCGCATGAGTATAGTAACAAGAGGAGAGAAGTTGATGTTGCATACAACAGAGTTGATAGTTACATCAGGTCATCATTGCATAACGCTTTCACTCAGGCAAGTTAATATTTTAGCTTTGATTATATTAACCAGAAAGTAAACACATAACATGAAGTAGCTACCATAATCATTGTTCATATATGGAAATGTCGTATCTGGTATATCTAGCACTTTAATCTAGGGTGTTTCTCAAGTGGACATCAAGGTCTGGATGATAATCTACCTTGTTATTATAGCAAGATTGGATTTGTCTGCCATTCTACTGTTTGTCTTACACACTTACATCACTTACAATTTATTTGTAGATTGAATCATTTTCATTTATTAAATTTCATCCTGTCTAATTTGCCATTGCGATGCTGGCTAAGCCGTGTGTTCTTATTGTTCCTTGTTGGGAAATTGATATTGGTGGTTAGTTCTGTGGTGTTTTGTTATTCATATACTCGTGTGGCTATAGTCTACATTAAAATTCTTCTCCATTGTTTATATGACTCAAGTCTATTCTTCTATCTAAAGACAGGAAAATGAGAAATTGATCTCATGCAGGAGGTCTTCTAAGAATCAGCGGAATTCTCTCCCAATCCTTTCCATTCTTGCACAAAATATTAGTGATCTGGCTTTTAATGAGAAAGAAATATACAGTCCAGTTCTAAAGAGATGGCACCCTCTTGCAACTGGTGTAGCTGTGGCTACTCTTCATGCATGCTATGGTGATGAGCTGAAGAAGTTTGTTTCCAGCATCAATGAATTGACACCAGATGCTGTACAGGTGCTTATAGCGGCTGACAAGTTAGAAAAAAATCTTGTAAAGATGGCAGTTGCAGATGCTGTAGAAAGTGATGATGGAGGGAAGGCATTAATTCAAGAAATGATTCCATTCGAGGCAGAAGCTGTAATTGTAAACTTGGTAAAATCGTGGATAAGAACAAGGGTAGACAGACTAAAAGAATGGGTTGAGAGAAATCTGCAACAAGAGGTACATCTACTGCTCCCTTTGCTTTTGTATATCATTTCTGAGTTAAGTTAATGCATCGGAACCAGAAACTTTGACAAGTAAAGTCTCTTGTTTTTCAAAAGATATAAAATAACAAAAGAGAGATTTCAGAGCATGATAATAAAATTTTTATTGATCACCAACTTTTGCCCAACCTTAGAATGAGCTAACTGTACTTTTCTGATCTTTAAATAGATTTGGAATCCTCGTGCAAATAAAGAGCGAGTTGCTCCCTCTGGTGTGGAGGCTTTGCGTGTCATAGATGAGACTTTGGAAGCATTCTTTTTGTTGCCAATTCCAATGCATCCTGCTTTGCTTCCTGAGTTACTGAGTGGTCTTGATAGATGCCTTCAAAACTACATATTCAACATTAAATCTGGCTGTGGTAGGTAAATCATAAATGTGATTTATGCTGCAAAGGATTCATTTATTGATTAATTTTTTTTTTTTTTTCAACTTTGTTTGTGGATCTAATTGTAGGTTCTCAAAGTGATTTCATCCCAAAAATACCTTCTTTGACTAGATGCGCCACTGGAAAAATATTTGGTGTATTCAAGAAGAAAGAAAGGACAAATATGGTTGTGCTAAAAAATTCTCACTCTGGGACTCTGGATGGTAATGATGCCTTTGGTTTACCACAGTTATGTGTTCGCATTAACACTTTGCATCACATTCGTAAGCAACTGGAGGTACTGGAAAAGAGGACTATTGCGCAACTGAGAGATAGTGGATGTGTTCATAATGATAATATGACCATTGGATTAGGGAAAAGTTTTGAGCTTTCAGCATCTGCTTGTATCGAGGGAATTAAGCAGCTTTCTGAAACAATTGCATACAAAGTTGTGTTTCATGATCTAAGCCATGTGTTTTGGGATTTCCTCTATGTGGGCAATGTTTCATCATCTCGTACTGAACCATTCCTTCAGGAGCTGGAAAAAAACTTAGAGATCATATCATCAACCGTTCATGACAGGGTGCGGACCCGTGTAATTACTGATGTAATGAAAGCTTCTTTTGAGGGGTTGTCGATGATTTTGCTTGCTGGAGGTCCTTTTCGTGCTTTCACTATTCCAGATGCTGCAATAATTGATGAGGATTTCAAGTTTCTAATGGATTTATTTTGGTCCGACGGGGATGGCCTTCCATCTGATCTAATAGATAAATATTCAGTCAACTTAAAAGGCATTCTTCAACTTCTTCATACAGACACTGAGAATCTCATTACACAATTTCAGCGTGTGATGGAAGAGAATTATGGTGCCTCGGGTAAATCCATGCCATTGCCTCCTACATCAGGCCGCTGGAGTCCAAGTGAACCAAACACAATTCTGCGTGTTTTGTGTTATCGAAATGACAAAGTTGCAACGAAGTTCATTAAAAAGCACTACAACTTGCCAAAGAAACTCTAACCATATTCAGGTGACGCCCGAAACTTGTACACATATACTCTGCCTATATTTAAAAGGTATCGCTTTCTTGCGCGTGTATAGAATATTTGCTGAAATTCTTTGCCTAAAGACCCCAAGAAAACCCCACTGGAGAACTGAGAATCACTTTGGCGAGGCCTTGAGTAGTACACCTCCCACTGTAGCCACAGGCAAAACTGTAAATTTACAGAGTTGGATTATTCAATTACTGTAGTTCTTTTGAACTTAGTACCATAGGTTACACAAGATAGTGTCATGAGATATGGAGCATGCCCTTTTGTTGTTTTTATGTATTTTTTTTTTTTTAAATGTGTTATAAAGGGTTTGTAGGTAATTGGCAAATTATACCATAGATCAGGGTTTACTTTGCATTATGGATCTTCAACCAAAATAATATTTAGATTATGTGTTTGCAATTAACATATTACACTCATTATGTGAATCATGGTGCACGTAGTTGTATGAATCATGGCTCAAAACGACGCCATCTCTCTAATTAAAAAGAGACGTCGTTAACGTCTTCAAAATTGCACAACATGCTTTGTGCAATATTTCTAAGCCAACGTTTAGCTTTCACAACTCCATTGTTATATGTACAACTTTACTTCCTAATTGCACAACATGCTTTGTGCAATATTTCTAAGCCAACCTTTAGCTTTCACAACTACATTGTTATATGTACAACTTTACTCCCTTATAATTACATAGCGACCAGTATTGACATATATACCTCTCTAAGTCTCCTCCCAACGCGTAACGACAATGACATGAGAATGCTTTTTTAGAAGGGAGATACCCACATACACAAGCTACTACATCAAATGCCACCATAATTGCCTCCACCGATGCTCAAACACACCACCTCCCACATTTTTGAAAACAAAAGAAGCAAATTTTCATTACCATCTTAATCGTTCGTACAAAACAGTGCAGAAAAGCAACGAGGAAAAAACTCAACATACTTTACCAACACCCCACTAGGAATAAACAAAGATCGCTTAGCTAATTCATGGGCATTGGGCAGGCACGTTTAATTCTCGATGCACAAACTGAAGAGAAACTGAGGCAAACTGCTCTTTTCGTACACGAATCTCATCAATAATCGCTCGTAAGGAATATTATTTCCGCCCCGGGCAATTGCATTGGTCACCACTTGAGCATCTGATTCGATAATAACATGGTTCCACCCTCTGTCTTTGATCCAACTGAGAGCCTCCCGGGCACCCATTGCCTCCGCTTCACGCACAGAAAAGAGACCGATGACATTCTTCATGGCTATCCCTTCGACTGTGCCATCATGTCCTCGTGTGATCCATCCAAACCCTGTACGTTCATTTTCAAAATCTAAGGCTGCATCAATATTGATTTTTAAACAACCCACCGGTGGAGGACACCATTGGGCAGACCCACGCTGCTGAGTAGGCCGAGAAACACACGCCAACCTTGCCTCCCTTTGGATAGATTGCCAATTTGCAATATACAGGTTTGCTGAATGAAACAACCCACTACCTCCCACATAGGAAAACAACTTGGTACCAGTGGACCACAAAGTCCTTGGTTGGATATATCATATGTGTTATTAATTCATCAACTTCTCTAACTTAACATGTAAAATCATATTGTATTTAATGTTAAATAATATTTTTATCTCACTTTATATATCTAATTCAGTTAACGAGATTTTGCTCAAATTATTTATAATTTAGGTTTTTTTTTTTTTTTTTTTTTTTTTTTTTTTTTTTTGTAATATTTAGTTGAGAAAATGGTCAAATAGACCCCTAAACTTTACACCAAAGGTCAATTAGGCCCCTAAACTTTAAAAAAGTGCAACTAAACACTCAAACATGTCAAATTGGGTCAGGTCATTTCAATTCCGGCGATGGATTCCGGCTACTGGTGACGAATTCCGACCACCGACAACAATTTTCGACCGTCTTCCACTGGAGAAGACGACCAGACGGCCGCCTTCTCCAGTGGAGAAGACAGCTGGTCGTCTTCTCCATTGGAGAAACAGATATGGTCGTCTTCTCCATTTGAGAAGACGACCGGACGGCCGAAAATTATCGTCGGTGGCCGGAATTCATCACCGGTGGTCGGAATTTGTCGCCGGAACTAAAATGTCCTGTAATAACAGGTCATTTACTGATTTTTGGGCTTCATTGACCTAATTTGACATGTTTGAGTGTTTAATTGCACTTTTTAAAAGTTTAGGGGCCTAATTGACCTTTAGGGTAAAGTTTAGGGCCCTATTTAACCCTTTTCTCTATTTAGTTTAGTTGCAGTTAGACTTGGCAATTATGGACACGACCCGTTAACACGACACGAAAATAACGGGTTAGTATTTAGTGTTAACGTGTCCCGGGACGTTAACGGGTTGACCCGTTAAGGACCCGTTATGTTTCGTGTCTTAACGGGTTAATCCGTTAAACCTATTAAGAACCCGTTTAACCCGTTAATATTATCGTGTTAACGGGTTAACACGAACCCGTTTACCAAACCTGTTTATAACCCGCTAAGAATCATTGTCATTTAGGTAAGAACCATTGTCATTATTGAGATTACAAAAGATATTATAAACATGACTAAAGATGAATTTACTATATTAGGCCAAGATCCTAGACCAATTAATTGATGTTCAACAATTTGAAATTTGAATTTTTATTGTGTTCAATTTTATTCTAAAAACTTGTATGAACTCCTTTAATTATGATTTTTGGATGTTATTTTATCATTTTATGAATGTTATGAATTGAATACTTTTTAGTTTGTTTGATGAATTGAATGGTAGGTTTTATTTCTTTCTTCTTTTTTTTTTTTTTTTTCTTTTTTTTTTTACAGAACTTAACTTTAAATTTTAGTTTTTTAAATATATTCATAGAAATAGTGGGTTTAAACGGGTTTCGTGTCATATCTAGTCGACACGACTTGAAACCTGTTAACAAAATGTGTCTATCGTGTCAACCTGTTTAACCCGTTAACAAATCGTGTTCGTGTTAAAACTTTGAACCCGTTAACCCTAACGTGTCGTGTCCGTGTTTAGCCTTATCGTGTTCGTGTCGTTATCGTGTCGACCCGTTAACGGACCCGTATATACGAATTGCCAGGTCTAATTGCAGTATATAAAATTTATATATTTAAACTAGATTAAAAGTACTATTTAATACAAAATTGTGAAATTATAAGAAAAACAATAAAATAAATATATAAATATTGAGAAAAAGAAAAAGTTAGTGCGAATAGTACATATAAAATAGGACGGATGAAATATATCATTTCAATTCTATAGTACATTATCACTTTGATGGTATTTCCTTTTCAAAAAATATCACTTTGATAGTTTTCAATGGACCAAACCTATCATAAAACCATGTAGATAACGAGAAATGGGTATTAAATAATATTAGATTAATAGAACCCACGATCTTGAAATAATGTACAAAGAATACATAAATTATAAATAAATAAAAGAAAAAAGTAGGCACGAGTAGTCTAACCAACAGGCTAGTGGACTATTGCAGTATTGCTACGTACTGACTAGCAGATGCTATATATTGGCACATGCTCTTTTGACGAAGAGAGAAGTCAAAGCATTGATGGTGGTCGGAACTGGACATCACCCCACCCTAGGGGTGACCGCGGTTCCGATTTCGGTTCGGAACCGCCGGTTTCGGTTCCGCAAATGGGGAAACCGGAACCGGCGGTTCCGGTTAGAACCGCCGGTTCTAACCGGAATTTTGAAAAAAAAAAAAAAAAAAAAAAAAAACAAAAACAAAACAACTAAAGTTAGGCCATGCTATTGGCCTACTGGCCAATAGCATGGCTATTGGCAGCCAGCAGGCCACTGGCCTACGCCAGTGGCCTGCTGGTTTAGACTTTTGAAAAGCCAAAGCCTTGCGGCTTTGGCTTTTCAAATTTCAATTTAATTTTTTTTTTTTTTTTTTTTTTTACGGTTTGGAACCGGAACCGTCCGGTTCCGAACCGGAACCGGCGGTTCCGGTTCCAATATTATAGGAACCTTAACCGGAACCTTATAGGCTCCGGTTAAGAACCAGAACCGGAACCGGAACCGTACGGACGGTTCCGGTTCAGTTCCGGTTAGCACAGTGACGGTTCCGGTTACGGTTCCGGTTCAGCTCTACCCCACCCCCCCTCCCCCACGGTGAACCGGAACCGTGGTCACCTCTACCCCACCCCCCTCCCCCTTTACAGCTTTACTGTTCCTAATGTCGCATGTCGTGGACAAGTACATGGACCATAACGCTCCGTTATCAAGACATGCATGTTTGATCTCTATAGGGTTTGTTCAGCATCAATATCAACTATATCAAGATATGTCTGATCTCATGAAATTACTTGTCTCGAGTCATTTGTTCGGTTAAATCGGTATAAGACCACTAAAATATTAATTAAAAGGTGTTACGTTAATTCAAATGGAAATGATTTAAGCAGTTTAATTAAATGATTTAAACTACACTCATGTGTTATAGCTTACAAATCGCACTAGAAATACCATATATGACAAGCTCAGTCGAGCTGAGAGAGTGTTGGCAACAAACAAAAGCATCGTTTTAATATCATGTCAAACCTAATTTTTTGAAAAAGACGATGTCCACTCTTAATTATTGGTACTCATGTGAATCGTAAATAAATTAAAGCTTCAATGGGTCGGAACAAAATATTAGTACTCATCATCATTTTGACTTCACTCGAAGTACATCTTTAGACAGCGATTACAAGCTTGTACATAAATCAAAATGTATTATATTACGTTGATTTTTAATATTTTCATATTATACATAACAATTCATTAAACTTTAAATATAATCTATCAATTCTGATTATAAATTCAGACAACATTTTCTAGTTAAAGTAAACTATACTCAATTATCCACAAAGTATCCAACCCGTTCTTACTATGCCCCAACAAACAATCAAAGATTGAATTCAAGTACAAAGTAATAAGGAAGTACGTGGTGAATGTGACGTCCTAGTTTGCTCTTTAAAAAATAAAAAAATAAAAGAATTGTTGAAGAATGAGTTCGCCATAAGGCCATAGTTATGTCACCCAACTAAAAGATGTTGGGACAAGTCAACAATATTATAGTTGCGATGATTATTTTTCGTCAAACATAAATATAATGGACCATAATCAAATTTTCACTATATCTACGTTGATGTAAATTACTGCCCATTATTATTATTAACTTAGGTATCGAAATTTCGCCGGACTTAGGAACTTCGCTCCAAAAGTTACAGTGGAGGTAAATCGTGAGTCGCGTAATCAGCCCACCGATCATATCCTAGTCGATCTTTATTTGTCACTACAAGAATAAAGACATTTA